TGGTGGTCAAGGAAGGCTTCCCGGAGGAGTCGTTGGAACCGCTTCTTACAAAGAGGAGCTAGTCCGGTGGAAGAGGGAGAAGAACACCCCAGGAAAGGAAAGCTATAATTGATGGCAGGGGAACTATGAGCCACCAGCCTAGATGGAAGTACTCTCCGCGGCCGGTAGAGCGCCACCTCCCGGCTCCCAGTCCCCCAGCCCTTTAAGGAGGAGCGCCCGTGTGCGAGTCGGCGTGGGTGGTGACAGAGCCCTTCGCGGCTGCTGATTGGATGGCGCGGCCCAACGGAGAAGCTCCACAGGCGCCGATTGGTGGGCGCTGTTCGGGCGCCGCCACCAGGTGATTCAGAGTGTGGGTCCCTGCGGCCACATGTGGGGTGCGGGGGTGGCGGAGGCGGGGCAAGCCCAGGGTTGAGGGGCGCTGGCTAGGGCGACGGAGACACAGTAGTCACTGAGCACTGCTGGGGGGCATCCGGCGGGACACTGCGCAGACGGAACTCGAGACGCGGTGGTCGCGGTGAGTGAGCGGCGGAGAGCTTGTCCGGGGCTGGGCGGGAGCCTCATCCCGAGGTGCAGAGTGTGGGGATGGTGTCGAATAGTGAGGGAGACCCCGTCACTTTCCTCCGTTACCATCCCCATCACTACCCACCACAATCGCCTTTGCTCCCACAGACCTCCACTACTGCCCTGCGGGTCTTGCCCTTAGTGCGGGCCGGGGACTGGCCGGCCTTCCCTGGAATCACAATGGTAGCAGCTAGAATGATACTTAGTGCCCAGGAGCGCTCTCTACTGCCCACGCACTGACCCCTAAGTGAAACCAACACTTTCTGATCAAATGTCTGTTTATAGGAGGCTGACCTCGATTACCTCACATTAAATAGCACCCATAACGCCCACACAAATCATATCTTCACCCTACTTTCCTTTTCCCCCAATCACATAAACCCTCCCTTAAATGTGCCCCATCCGGTCCTCCTGCTCCTACTTGGTTCCCTGTGGGCTGGCACTTTTTTGTTCACCAGCATCTGTGCCTGGCACCTAGCCGGCTCGAGGAAATACTCCCAAAAGGAACAAATCGGTGAACAGCTCTGGGAGGTAGCTACTATTATTCCCACTTCACAGTTGAGAAATGGAGGCTGGCAGACTAAGTGTCTTGGCCAAGACCACAACCCCAAACGCTTGGACCCTCCTGTCTCTGTTCTTGACCCCTGTCAGTGTGACCCACCCCCCCAGGCCAGCTGTGTTGAGGCAGGTGGCTCCACTGTGTGTGTGGAGCCAAAAGCAGTCCGGGCATCACTGGCCACCAAACCATTGGCCCCTGAAAGCAGCCAGAGAGAGAAGGCAGTTGCTTTCTGCTGGTCAGAAAGTTGCTAAAGTTGCTGTGACGGCTTCTCTGCCTCATCTGATGGGGACAGCCTCCAACCTCCAAAAGATGGACAGCCTGCTTACTTGGGTAGGCAGGGGGTGGGTCTTTGCAGAGGGCACTGCCCTGGCCTAGGGGAAGATCCCCAGGGACCTGGATTTGCTTCCGAGCTACCCTACTTTAGAAAGGTGACTTTACTTCCCTGAGCTCCTGTTTGCTGAGCCCAGAGTCTGCAGGCTGGCCCAGGACACTCTGGAGGTGGACTGCTCCTCAGTATAGCTCAGCTATGGTGTGATACAGTTGCGGGCCTCTCTCCTTGTCCCTAGAGGCAGATCAGTCCTTCCAGTCCCTTGTCTGGCCACCCACAAAAGCTAGAGAACTAGAGGGTGCCCCCTTAGGAAAGTGCCACCCCAATCAGGTTCCTGGCCAAACCTTGGAAAGACTGCCCTGTCCAAAGAGATCTCTGGGTTTATTTCCAAGATTGGGTGAGTCTGGTGCTTTCCTCTAGCTCTGACTTGAAGCTGACGGTGCTGTGCACCCCCAGGTTTGCGAAGGGGGATGGAGAAGGGAGAATCTGCCAGTTTTCCAGCAGGGGAAAGAACCAGGGAACTGGGGAAGGACCTGTGATGGTGGGTGGGGTAGGGTGATGGCTGGTAACAGGGCCTGTGGCCTGGCCTGCCCATTCCTACCCTACAGCTGGGACACTACGTGGCTCTGAGGAAGCCTGCTGTGGATCTGGAGGACAGAGGTTGTTGACAGCTCTAGACACAGCTGCTTCCACCATGTGAGCTAACATGTGAGTGTGTGATAACAGTATGGCCTCTCTCCACGCACAGCTTCGTGCCTGAAGGGCTATGTCATCACCATAGGCAGGAGGCGGAATCTGTGCCTTATCTCTCCAGCCTCCCACCTCTCCCCCTACCCATCTCTCATCTTCTCACTCTGCTTTGCTCCCACTTCCCTGGGCTGCCTTGTCTTTCTGTCTTTCCCTCTCTCCCTTCCCCCTTGTCTACTTTTCAGTGTTTTCCACCTCCAGGGGGCTACATAATCCCATGTGATTATGAGTTTAAAAGATGGGTTTCCTGGAACCCTTCCCCCCATCTCATTACCTGCAACCAGCAAGATGCTGTTTCAGTACCAGTTACACATGGAGCTTGGCTTTATTATCTTGAAAACATAAAATGTAGACTAGGACATAAACATGATATGAAAATTGATCATGATCCAGAAGTCGGGGGAATGGGATACCCAGAAAAAAGCAGGAGGGGCAAAGTGTGGGAGAAATGGACCAGGGAGGTGGCCCCTTTATTTTCTGGCTTTTCCTGTGCCGCCATGCTGAACTGAGCCTAGCCCTGGAGGTCCCGGACATCTCAGGTGGGGCGGGTCCAGCGTTGGCCCACAGCATCTCCATCCTCCTGTCGAGGACCACTAAAAGGGGCTGGGAGGGGACACACCCAGGATGTAGTGACGCTGTCAGGGGGAGTAACACCAAAATGATTCTCTAAAATGTCCGTGCTGTGGTTCAGGAGACGTGTATTCTGTTTTATAAAAGTATCCTTGCAGTTAGTTAAAACAACAAACAAAAACATTTTTTGTAAGTCCAGCTTGCTTGTGTCAATATACCTATGAGGCTAAAACTCTGCTAATTTACTTTTGGAACCTTCTTATGCCACTCAGAGCTGTCATTCTTACCCAATAACAATAATGCTTTGAGTCTCCTGGGTTTGTCTGCAAGAGCAATGGGAATTTAAAGGTGTAATTTTTATTTTGCTAGTTGTTTATGCCAGTACTATTGCCATTGTTGTTGTTGTTAAGTGCCGTTGAATCCGTTCTGACTCACAGCAACTCCGTATAGGGTTTCCAAGGAGTAGCTGGTGGGTTTGAACTGCCGACCTTGTGACCTAGCAGTCCAGTGAGTATCCATACCAGGACTTGGGTGATCTATGGGAATTTATGAGTAACAGTACAAGAATCATTACTAAGGGTTCTGTATGGTCTGGAATGGGTGGAGAGGTGACTGTGAGTTACTGTACTGGGTGATACCAACCCTAGTCACACCACTGCCAAGATGTACCTACTTCCTGCTTATGGCTGTGTATCAGATACCTGTTCTCCCTTGGCAGGAGCACCCCCCTCCATTGGGTGATCACCTAGCAGTGTGGCACAGTACAAAGAGCACTGAAAATAAACCTCACTGACCTCCCAAACACCTTCCAGAACAGCAGGCTTTGGGGCCTTTATTTCTGGAGAGACCATGTTTGTTGAGCATTGGCTCTGGCTGCTGCCTACTCCTCCATTCAGTTCTCATCAACTCCTCCTCAGATGAGAAAAGGGAGGTTCAGAGAGGTGGGGCAGCTCCCCCAGTTAGCACACAGGATTGGGACTCAGATTTCCAAGTGCAATGCTTGCAAGCAGCTTACTTAGATAGGCTGCAAGTTCCAGGGATGGAGGTCCACATTGGCCTTGGGAAAAGCTGAGGGGGCAGGGTCTTTGGGGACCTAGGCCCAGGATTCCGCCGTTCTTTCTGGTAAACATCTCTCCATTGATTCGTTTATTTCTCCTCTATTGGTACCAGCCATAGCCTTGGATGCTCAAACAGGGGGATTGTTCTCTCTGTCCTTGAGGACCTCTACTGAGAGGTTTGCTCCTCTCCTGCACTGTAGTGGGTCTAGGAGGGAGGTGCTGAGGGACCCCAGAAAACATGAGAGCCCTCTTGGGCTTTTGCAGGGAGGGGTTCCTTCAGCTCCTCTCTAGGACACTGACTTCCTTCTCTATACCCTAACTTGCATCAGTGTATTATCTGGTTTGTTTCTGGTTTACAAGACCTTTACAGTACTAGGGGCTCCAGAAAGGGACTTGACTGAATGGACCTCATCAGCTCTGGCCACCCAGTTGGCGGACCACCCTGTGGACTACAGCGCTCCTGCCCTAGAACCTGTTGTGGCTCCCCATTAACACAGGGAAGAGTCTCACTTCCCTAGTCCAGCATTTCAGGCTGAGGCCAGCCTGACTCCAGCCTGCCAGCTACCTGACGGCCCAGCTGTCTTTTCCTCTCTGTGCCTTTACGTGCTCTATTCCCTTGCTAGAATGCCCTACTTGCTGGTCCTCACCCTCTTCTGTTTGGTAATGCCTTCCCTTTCCCTGGGACTTTGTCCAAGTTAGTTACAAGTCTGGACCCCCAAATTCCTGTCCCTGGAGGCTGGGCCCAGGTTAGCTCTGCAGCTGGGTAGATGGCGGAATGAGGACACTCTTCGCCACAGCCCTTCAGATTTTTGTAAAGCCATCCTCTGGTGAGGCCTTTCTAGTTACACGTCAGCCCCACCCTGGCAGCTCATATTGCCTTCCCTGCTTCGCCACCTGCTATTAGATGTCTTTCTTTTCATTAAGTGTAATGTCGGCCACCCCTGTAGCTCCATGAGGGCAGGCAGGGTCTTGTCCTTTTGTTCAAGGTTGTATTCTCAGCACGCGGGTCAGTGCGTTGTATACAGTAGGTGCTCAGTAAGGATTGTTGAGTGAATGAATGAATAAATGCAGCGGCCTCTGAGGGGAGCAACGGGGCTCATCTGTCTGGGACCAACCTTCTTCTTTTGCCCTCTGCAGCCTTCTTCCTCGTGGGATTGAAGCCGACATCCTGGGGGCCATGCAGAGGGCTGGGGCAGGAGGCCGGAGGGCGTCTGACTGCGGCCCTGCCCCTTACAGGCCCAGGTGCATCACCAAGTTTGCCCAGGTGGGTGGGGCTGCCTTTCTGGGTGTGCTCTAGGGGGCGGCCATAAGGTAGGGGAAGCTGTAGGTCAAGGGCCTGTTACCGTGTCTGTCTTGCATGACTGAGGCTTTGGAGTAAGTGTGCACAGATGAGAAGAGGGACCCTCAGGGTACTGTGACTTGACCAAGGTCACCTGCTAGGACAGTAACAGAGCCTGGACACATGTCATGGGCAATGCGCTCTCATTGCCCACAGCTTACCTGATGACGCAGAGTGTGTCTTGGGGGAAGTTGGAGGATGGGGGTCCAGAGCCGTGGGCCTGACTCCTTGTCTCCTACCCCACCCTCAATCCTGAGCAGTATGTGGGCTCCTTCCCCGTGGATGACCTGGATACTCAGGAGAGTGTGTGGCTGGTCCAACAGCAGCTGTGGGCACTGAAGGTAGGCAGCTAGGGTACCGGGGCTCACTTCCTCATGTAAAATCACAGCCTTGGAATATCACATGGGATTGGTTCCAGGGACCATCTGGTCTACCCTCTCTACCTACCCTAACATAGCATGGGCAGGTGCAAGACCAAAGCCACGCTGAACTCTGAGAAGGGCCTGAACAGCACAGATGGGTGTCACAGATGGGAGGTATGGAGGTGGTCAGATCATGACCAGTTGTGGCCCGTCCAGGGTGGTCCCCAGCTCTGGGTGGCTCAACTGGCAGGTGGGGTGGAGGTAGCTGACTAGCCTTCGTGAATGATCTGGAGACACCAACTCTTCCCACCCAGGACTGTCCCCGACGCCGGGCTGTCATCCTGAAATTCAGCCTTCAGGGCCTCAAGATCTACAGCGGAGAGGGTGAGGTAGGAGCCCGTGTGGGTACAGGTGAGGACTGGACAGGAACAGCGTCTCCTCCTCCCTCTGGGACATGCTCATCTCTATCCAGGTCTCCGGCGCAGCTCAGCCCCAGCCTCTCCCCTTGAGCCTCCCTGGCTCCCCAGCCTGCCGGGGCCTTTGGAATTTCTCTCTGCAAGCGCCTGTCCCCTAGGACGAGCTTGGGCAATAGTTTCTCCTGCCCGGCTCTCCAGGGTCTCCAGGGGCCATCTTCCAGCCGGAGCTTCAGGGATATACAGTCCCTTGTGGCTGAGGCTTGGCCTTGTTTTTGTGGCTTTCCTGCCCAGTGGCAGCTTATGGCTGGCCATTTGTGGCTGTGGAAGGAGTGGGAGAACATTTGGGGGGGTCCTTTCTGAGAACCCCCTCCTTCTCCTGCTCCTCTTTGTCTCTTCCTCCTGGTGCCCCTCAAGTTCAGATGTGGTGACCTGAACCTCCAGATCAGCCGCGGGAGTCAGGATTCCCAGCCCTGGGAGTTTAGATTTAAAGCAGGGTCGGGTCGAGTGGACTTGAAGGAAGGGAGGATTTCTTCACCCCAGGTGGGCCCCAAGCTGGGTAGGCAGGAGAGCAGGCCCTGGGAGGCTGCCAGTGATGTGGAGGTCCAGCAGGCGAGGTTGCAGGTCTGATAGTGGTTGGTTGTTATGTGCCGCCTCCCCAGGTGCTCCTGATGGCTCATGCCCTGAGGCGAATATTCCACTCTACCTGGTGCCCAGCAGACTGCCAGTTTGCCTTCATTGCCCGGAACCCACGGAGCCCAGCCAGCAAGCTCTTCTGCCACCTCTTTGTGGGTAGCCAACCTGGAGAGGTACCTGGGCTTGGGGCAGTAGACGCTCTTGGAGGCTGGGCATCAGCTGCCTTGAGCCCACACTAGCCTCTACCCCTGGGACCGGAGGTGGAGACCTGGCCCTGCATTTAGAAATTGGAGGGTCACCCATCCAGGCCTTGGCTTATGCTGTTCTTCCCGACTGGAGTACCCAGCCCCTCCTCACCCTCAAGGGACATCCATGTGTCTGAAGCCCACCCTGATTTATCTGGTCTCTGACAGGAACCGCACCCTGAGCTGCCCCTAATCTGACATTTGTGTTCTTTGAGAGCGGAGACTAAGTCTGGGTGTTGCCCAATCCCAGGCGTGGCAGTTGAGTGGGTGGGCAGGCAGACAGACCCCGGCAGTGTGACTGTCGTGAACGATGGAGCCTCAGCAGCAGCCAGCTGTATGTCGGGCAGAGGCTAGGCTTGGTTCTGTGTGGGGAGCATTTGCCATGACCCTTGTACCTGGATACTCAGGATAGTAGTTCTGGCTGCTGGGGTGACAGGTGGTGGAGACAGGTCCCTTGATCTTCAGGAGCTCATGGTTCTAGCATGTAGGGCTAGACAGTGTGTCAGGGAGTGAGGGAGAATGTACTAGTCCCAGCTGGGCCGATACTGGGGGTTTCCCTGTTCTGTCTCATTGACTTCCCCAAGGAGCACAGAGAGGTGGGGATGGGGAAACTGAGGCACAGAGTGCCGTGCTCTGCCCAGCATTTCACAGCAGCTCCTGAGTGACAACGCCAGGATCGAACTCGGGTACTCTGACTCCAGGACTTGGCCTCTTAGCCTCTTCTCCCTGAGGGTCCAGACAGTGAAGAGGAAGGGGAACAGAGAGCACTTAGCTCAGGGCTGTATTCCCAGCTCCAAGCATGGTGCTCAGCGTTCATTAAGTGAATAAGAGAGACTGATAAGAGGCAGCTGCATGGTGGTGAGGGTTGAGGGATAAATAAGGCATTTCCCAGGAAGCGTGAGGAGGAGCATCCACAGCGGAGGGGCTAGCTGGCCGCTCATGGTGAGTGAGCTAATGCCCGCCCCTCCCTCAGGTCCAGATCCTGCACCTGCTCCTCTGTCGCTCCTTCCAGCTAGCTTACCTCATGCAGCACCCTGAGCAGCGGGCTCAGCAGGAACCGTGCCCAGGTTCTGCAGAGGATGTGCCCCGGAAGCCACTGCCCAGCCCTGAGGGCCCCCCTGGCTTGGTGCGTGAACCCTTCGGCCGTGATCAGCTTTCCCAGAACGTCCATGCACTCGTCTCCTTCCGGCGGCTGCCAGCAGAGGGACCAGCAGGCAGTGGGGTATGCAGCTCCCTAACCAGGGAGTGGATGGTGGGTGGGGCCTGGGGGTCCCTGAGGAGCCCATGAGGGACCAGGACTTCAGTGGAGAGAGGGAACTTCACAGAGCCGAGCCCAAGTCTGCCGGCCTGTCTCTATGACTAGTCTTGGTACCCTAGAAGGAGTTGCTAGAGCTGGAAGGCCGTGGGGGCACCCGCCATGCCCGCCTGGGGAATCCCTACTGCTCACCCACACTGGTTCGCAAAAAGGCCATTCGCAGTAAAGTGATCCGCTCAGGGGCCTACCGAGGGTGCACCTACGAGACTCAGCTCCAGCTGTCAGCTCGGGAGGCCTGTGAGTATAGTTGCATGCAGGGCACATGTGTGTGGAGGAGCATGCCTGCCTGTGGGCACCTGGGGCATGGGCCTGTAGCTGTCTATGCCCATGAGAGAGGGCAGCACAGGAATAAATTTCTACAAAGCTGTGTGTGCCCCTTGAGTGTCTGTGAGTGGGGTGGGGGTGCCGTTTGGGGGACTGCATGTGTGCCTAATGAGTAGGGTGGAGGAGGCTTGGTGGGAAGACTATGGAGATGGGGCGGATGGGCATGGGGAGACAGCACCTCTCCCAATAATCCCTTTCTGGATGGTCTCCAAAGTCCCTGCAGCGTGGGAGGCCTGGCCTAGGAGTCCCAGCGGCCCTGCATGCCTGGTGGAGAGCGAGGGAAGCTTGACTGAGAACATCTGGGCCTTTGCTGGCATTTCCAGGTAGGAGGGACCCAGCCTGGCCAGATGTCCAGATCCCTGGATGGGTGAGGGCAGTGGTCTCCCCTAGGGCCCAGATATGCACACTCTTCCCAGCCTTATGGACCACAAGTCATGGACTTCACCACCTGGGCCTCAGTCTCCTCAGATGTAAAGCAGGGGTACTAAAGGGCCTTCCTTCATTGCCGGGTGGTGGGAAAGATCGAATGAAGCAGTTCTGGTGAAGTCCTCAGCACCTGGCCTGTCCCAGGGCAAGTACTCCTTAAATGTTAACTCTGAACCAGGGCTTCCAACCAGTTCAGCCCAGGTCAGTCATCACTGACGAAGTGACACCGAATCAGTCCTGGATTTTTAAAATGTGTGTGAACCAGAATACTAATGTTGTTGTTAAGTGCCATCGAGTTGGTTCCAACTTCCAGCAATCCTGTATACGGTTCAAACTCTGGTGAGTTTGAATTGCCGGCCTTGCAGTTCAAACCAACCTTTTGGTCACATGCTTATCCTACAGCGCCACATAGGTTGAAGCAATGTGCGTTAGGCCTTGGGCTGCTAACCACAATGTTAGCAGTTCAAACCCACCAGCCGCTCCATGGGAGAAAGATAAGGCTGTCTGCCCCTGTAAAATCTTGGAAACCCTATATAGGGTCACTGTGAGTAAGAATCAACTTGGTAGCAGTGACTTTTTTTGGCCCTGCTAGAAACTTAATTGCTCTCTTAGAAAACAAGGGCAGTGTGTGCATTGCATAGCAACCAAATCTGTTGATCAGATGAGTAGAAAATAACGGTGCCCCAACTCAAAGATGGCGGCTGACCTGACTGCTTTTAGTGTGGGAATAATCCAATGTCATCCATCTGGCTCCAGAGAGGACTCGCTATGTCCACTCTAGAGCTTCAACCTGTAATTTTTCCCTTTCTGGTTAGCATTCCAGATCATCCAAATTTTCAAAGTTTTCAAAATTTTATCCGCCATGACTGAACCAATTTGAAGCCCTGTTCTAAACTCCCAGGATGTCTAGGCCCTTCCCATCTGCCAGAGCACAATCAGGGGCTAACAATTCATTTTTTAAAATACTCTCACCATTGGGTCTAGAAGTCATCAAATTTAAGGACCCTTTAGAAGCTCTTTAGTTTTTAAAAGCTTCCTTTTACTGAAGGTCTACGATCTCGCCTGTCATCCTTTCACATTTTGTTGGTATTCTATTAGCTACCCTGAGACTGGGCCCAGGCTAGTGGATGGGTTCTCAGCCTCTGCCCTCTGTCCCCCAGGTCCTGTGGCCTCGCTTTGCTGCGGAGGGATGTGCTTGGGGCCTTCCTGCTGTGGCCTGAGCCAGGCACCCCGGGCCAGTGGTGTCTGTCGGTCCGGACACAGTGTGGTGTGGTGCCCCACCAAGTCTTCCGGAACCACCAGGGCCGCTACTGTGTGGAGGTAGGAAGGAGTGTGAACCCACCCCCACCCCTTTATGTCCTATCCTTGTCTAGCTGTTGAGGTCCTGAGCCCGCCTCCACCGAGTACCACATTGGCTGTCTCTGGCCTAGTCCCATATATAGTTCTCCACCTACCGTTTGTGTCTTGCTTCATCCTTATATCCTGCTGGCCCTGCATCTGGTGGCTCATCCTTGACCTGAAGGCTCTTGGAGGGGTAGGGCAGGGTTAGTTCAGAGAGTCATCCTAAGATTTGCGGCCTGGGGTTGTAACTCACACTCTGGTAGGGATCCTGGCTTTCCCATACCCTAGCCCAACTTTTAGTAGTGGAGGATACTGACTCAGAGTACAAGGACTTGCCTAAGCTCACACAACCTCTGACCAAGACTAGAGTCATCCTGACCACAGGGACTGGGATGTGTTGGCAAGACTTGGTAGACGTGTACCCTTGCATCTAGGCTGAAGTCTGGGAGCAGAGAAAGAGGGAATGGTATTTGGCTGCTGTGTGCCCCTTCTCTGAGCTCTCATTTCCTATTCGCTAAAATAGGTCAGGAAGGAGCTGTGATAGCGTAGTGGTTATGAATTGGGCTGTGAACCGCAAGGTCAGCAGTTCGAAACTGCCAGCTGTTCCGCGGGAGAAAGATGAGGCTTTCTGCTCCCGTAAAGATTTACAGCCTCGGAAACCCTGTACAGGGTCGCTATGAGTC